AAGACGGGTAGACCAATAGTCAAAAAGATACGGACAAGGCTTAAGACCCATAGCTATAGTCCGACCAAAGTAAGCTATAATATCCTCAACATTAACATTGATCCATTTTATTGTCTTTTTTATATTATTGGAGGTTCATATTGGTGTGCCAGTTTATCAAATGCTTAGTGATTTGTTTCTTTTACAACTGTTTGCAAAACTTCCATAGTATATTTTTTTTAATCAATGACATTAGTTGCTAAACTAGTTTGTCGTGATACAGGTTCACCCCTTTTAAAAGTAAATACCCGTGTATGTTCCTCCTCATTGAGCTCCAACCACGTCCAGGTATCATTGTAGGTGAGAGTCCTTTCCTGCTGAAAAGGTTCAGTCCTAGTAGATGCTCTTCCTCTTAGCCCTGTCTTTTCTTCTGTGGTAGTGGCGCTTGGTGTGATGTACTTGGCCTGGGTGATTCAGTAACATCCTCATCTGATGAAAATCTTTCACATGCTACATCTTTATCTCTCAATAAGATAGATTCAAGAATAGCTAGTTCACGATTTTTGTGGCCATCTAGTTTTGTGGGCATATTCTGTCAGAGGCATTGATGGAGAAACATCAATTACTTCAGCTTCTGATTCCCCTGACAGAGGGCCTCCATCATCAAATGAAAATGACACACTTACAATAAAATTAGATTTTTTCTGTGGCAGAAAATTCTTCTTCATAATTGCCTTTGCTTTTTCGTTTTCAGAGGCCATTTCTTGAAGAAGGGAAAAACATTACATATATGTTACAGTATATTCCCAGTTGTGTATCATTGTATTATATGTATACTACGTCTTCTGTATTGTGTATCATTATATATGTATATTACAAGTATTCTCTGTTATGCATCATTGTTTTATATTGTTACGAGAGCGGAAGTCACGTGACGTTGCTGGCGCATGCGTGACTGAGTTTCTCGAATTATCAGGGAACTTGTGTCGCTGAAGTTCCTTGGAAAGAATTTCTACCAGAAATTAACAAAGAAGCAGAAACATAACAATATGTATCTATATTCTCTGTGTATTATAGGTTTCAGATGCATGTTACGCGTATGCAAGTACACGTTAGGCTAAAATACAGAAAAAGCTACACTGAATTTTGATCAACTATCAACAATTGATCAGAAATTCCATATATATATGTTACATAATGATTACTTCTGTGTAAATATTTGGTAAACACCATAACTTTTTCTGAGTGTAGGAAAGTAACCTTCACAAGAGCAGCAGTTTACCAAGAAACATTACACTTATACTACAATATATTCTCTGTTATGTATCATAAATGTCAGAA